ATTGCCGAAGTCGTGGATGAGCTGCTCCAAGTTGGATAAGCTGCTCCACGGCTGCCCTGCCAAGCCCTCGGCGCTGCTGATGGATTCACAATGTAGGCGGAGCGGTCCGCGTTCTGTCGACATTCCAGCCGCAGCGCGCACCTTCATTGGAACCTTTCAGGAAGGCAGGCCCTGCAGGTTCCCTGCGGAGAAGCCTTGAGATGGACATCTGACTGAAAAAGCTTGACTTCATCGTCCAACAGATACCACAGTGCTATTTGTCTTTGGGAAAGTGTCCAGATCTTCTCCGATGCTGAGCTGCAAAATGACCTCCTGAGACGCACGTGCGGCGCAGCCAATAATCTAACAAGATGGACTAAGTTCGAGAATGTCTCGAACTTGCTTTGTTTTGTTGATTAGCGGCTCGGGCTGCAGTAGGTTAGCAACGCCTGCGATGAAAAGAGCGCGTGTAGGCGCCGAGGTGTTTAAAACCCACAGGCGCCAGCCCGCCCGCCGCGGCAGAGACCACCGGAGGCCACCAGGATGAACGCACCGCCCGCCGCGCTGCGGCTTCGAATTTGGGAAGTAAAGCAAAAGAACGAATGGGGAAGATCAAGCTGTTTCCTACGACAGAGTATACCAGTAAGCAGCCCTCGGACCCCGTGGTGCCGGCGTCTTCCTCGGCCCCAGCAAGTCCGGCAAAACCGTGGCGCTGATCAGCATCATCCTGGAGCAGTACAAGGGCGTCTTTGAGAAAATCTACATATTCTGTCCCAGCATAAACATAGACGATAGCTGGATCCCCGTCAAGAAGTACATAGAGGAGGACCTGGGGGCGAACACGGAGCGCGAGCAGGCCTACTACGACGAGTGGGACGAGGCGGCGCTGCGGGGCATTAGGCAGAGGCAGCGCAAGATCACCGAGACGTCCAAGAAGTTGGAGATGAAGAAACTGTACCAGGTGCTGATTATCCTGGACGACTACGCAGATAGCCCGCAGCTCCACAAGCCTCACAGCGCCCTGGACACACTCTTCATCCGTGGCCGGCACATGCAAATCAGCACCAGCGCAGCGGTGCGGGTGAACATGCAATTCCTCTGCTGCTGGAGGCTGCGCAACCAGCACGAGCTGGACGCCTTCATCGACAAGAGCTCAGCGCCCTGCTTCCAAAGGACAAGCTGCACAGGATCTACGAGCAGGCGACCCGGGAACCCTATAGCTTCCTCTTCGTCTGAAGCTGCAATCGCCCTGCTCAAAGGCGCACACGTTGTTTTCCAGCTGATGGGAAAGGTTCCATCGGTGCGAGCCGCGTTTGGCTGAGTAAGAGGGGCCCCTCTGTAAGCCGCAAACCAAATGCATGGATGAGACAGTCAAATGGGTGTGATGTCAATTGCACCAGCCCAAAAGAAAAGTTGACTGTTCATCCGCTGGGCTTTGTGAGGCCCTTGCGCATGGTGTCTAGCGCACTATGGCCTGTTTTGGCCGACTTCTTCGCCGAGATGATGAAGTTCGGGTCGAACTTCAGCTGCCAGACCCACGTCCTCAAAAATTGGATCATGGACTGCCTTGCCGTCTTGTTCTTCTTCGTCATGCAGTCCGCGAGATTCCAGTCACTGGCCAACCAAAGCAACTTGGTGCCAACCTTCTTCATTTGTTGGCGCAGTTGATACGCCTGCAGAGCAGCCCTGATATTCGAGAGGCCAAGCAACGGCCCTTCGTTCAGCTCCACCGCATCGTAGGCACCCTTGCTGTCTGTCGCCAGCAGCCCGGGAATGGTCGCCACCATCGCGTCAGCCACCTCCAGAATGTCCTTGGAGTCGTTGAAGCCGCAGCAGCCATTCAGCTGCGCCCACATAAGGCGAACGCGATAGGCGTTGTCCTCGCCCTCCAGGATGGATTGGATCTCTCCATCATTTGACGAGATGGCCACTCGTCGCAACTTCCATGTTCGCCACATCACCAGCGACAAGGTAGAGGTCTTGCCCTCTCTGATGCTCTTATCAACACCAACAGGCCTCCAGTGGACTCACCCTTGGGCCTGTTTGCGTCCGCCTGGTCCGCCATTCCGACGATGGTCATGTCCTGCCAGTGCTCCACGTTGTTGAAGTGATGAAACCTTAGTGATGTGGATGTCGAGGTCCGCGCTTCCTTGATCAGGTCCTGCACTTCCTTTGCCACCTCCATCTTGGGCTTTCCGCTCAAGTCTGACAGAAGCAGGTTGCAGCGAGCGCATAGCAACGGGGCACTCTGCACCGCAAGCCACTGCACTGCACCTAGTGCACCACGGCACATGGACACCTCCCGCGGTGTCATCTCCTCATTGGATCGTAGCCGCTTCTGCTCAATGGCCAAATCCTCCAATGTCTCCGCGTAGTGCTTCTGTTCCAGCTCCACGTAGAACTGCTCACCCTGATCAATCACATTCACATCGACGCCAATGTGCCGGTAGGAGTTCAACCTCACCGTGCCCCATTTGAACTTCTCGTCGATCTTCTTGCGGATCTCCAGCCATCGTTCATTACGAAGATCTCCTCCCCGGTTGAAGTCATCCACGTGACCACCCATGAAGCCAATGGTCGTGTAGCGGTCCCACTCATTCCGAAGAGACTTGTTCTCCTCGATCCAGACCCACAGACACAAGTCTCCCCAGATCCGGATGCCGCCCAAGCCGGTCAGCTCGCGATCCAGTTCCTGCCACAAGTTTCTTGGGGCTGTCGCGCTTCCGTAGATATCCTTCAGCAACCGCAGAAGACCATTGTTGTCCACGCCCAAGGCCTCCTTGAGCTCCGGTGTCCCAGTGGTCCACAATCTTTCCTTCTCCATGGTCTTTGACGTCTGCAGGAAGGCCGTCGAAAGGTCAAGGCCTTCCACATCCCACTTGCGCTGGGCCACCAGCTGGAAGGTCAAACACCGTGCCAGGGTAGACTGCACTGGCGACGCCGTCTTGTGACCTTCATCCAGCAGATCGGGATGTTGAAATCCAAGAAGCACGATTCGTGCTTTTGCCTTCTTGGACGCGTCTGCCGTGATGGTAGTACTCGAGGGATCACTCTTCACGGCCTTCTGGGCTTCATCCTGCTCCTCCGGTGGAATGACCTTCCATGTGAGCACCCACCGACATCCAAGCACTCTGCCCGATTGCCGCGCTTCGTCCTCCTCTGCCTTGTTCAGGCACCGTCGCACCGCCTCCTGCGCCAGGAAGCTCTTCACTTCCTTCGACTTGGCCCGATCGAACAACAGCTTGTCCTGCTCCGCGAGATGCCTGTAGACCACCTCCGCGTCTCTCATCTTTTTCACCAAGAAATTGACCGGGTTCCTGACGAAGTTCTTCTGTTCGCGATGCGATCCGAAGTTCAGGTCGAGCTCCATCCAGTAGCCCTCGTTGACTTCGTCCAAGGCGTCGAAGAGCTCTGCGTGCAGCGTCTCTTCGTCCTTTGCCGACTCGTCACTACCATCTCCGTGGTCTGTCTTTTGTCGCGTCTCGTCGGGTTCCTGCACCTCGTCCGCCGATGCCCTTGAGGATGTGCTCTGTAGTAGTGGCCTTGCCGAAGACGATCCACCAATGGTCAAAGGCTTTCCGTCTCCAAGACCCGTGTCTTCCTCCATCCCAGCATCGTCATCCACCAGAAGCGACCTTGGCTGGTAGTCGTTCACATCTACCGCCTCCTTTGTCTCCGGAATCCCCGGTGACATTCGTGGCTGTTTCCATCTCAACCGTCTCATCGGTGCTGGAGCCATGGTCGAGGCATCAGGTTGCTTAGGAAGATCAACCTTCTCCTCGTCCTCCTCCGTAGGCTCCTCGTGAACCACGTCCACGTACTCCTTCTGCGGGATCAAGTCCGTCAGACTCTTCCACTCCATGGGGTTCGTCTGGTTCCTCATTTCCTCCACGGCTTGTTCCACCTCCGTGAGAGGTCTGACCGAATGCACCGAGCACCGCATGATGGTGCGTCCGATGACCACCCAGACAATGTGGCTCCTCTCATCTCCTTCTTCCTGGTCCACCAGAACTTCTTGGAACAGCACACGTCCTGTTGATTCTTGACCTCCGTGTGGTCCGACGGAGCTCCCTTCTTCGGCACGTAGATCAGGCGCAACGCGCAATGGCTGCAGTGTAGCCACACTCCCCACTTGTTGCTCCGATAGTGCATCGGTTCGTGCTCGCCATAGCATGGCCATTGCTGGCCTGACGCTCGAGGATCTCTCCCTCCATCGCCTGCATTTGCTTCCCTTCCTTCTCCTTCGAGATCTGCTTCTCCAGCACCTCCAGGTAATCCGGCGACTTTACGGCCATGACTCACTAGCGGCGCTGTCGAGGAAGGGGTTCCCAGAAGGCTGCTCAGGTTCCTGTTGCATGGGTCTGAGCCCAACCGCTGCATTAGGTACCCCAGCCCGTCAGCTACTATCCCCCTTCCGCGCGTCAGGTACCCCCCATCCCCATCCATCCGTGCGTCAGCTACTTCCGCGTGTCAGGTACCCCCCATCCCCATCCGCGCGTCAGCTACTCCCTTCCGCGCGTCAGGTATGCGTCAGGCGCTCCCCACTCCCTATTCGCCCTGCCGCGCGTCAGGTACCTCCCCTCTTGCGCGCGTCAGTTCCACCCCTACTCCCATCCGCGCGTCAGCTACTATTTTCCTTCCGCGCGTCAGGTACCCCCCACCCCCATCCGCACGTCAGCTACTACATCCGCGCGTCAGCTACTATCCCCCTTCCGCGCGTCAGGTACCCCCCATCCCCATCCACGCGTCAGCTACTATCCCCTTTCCGCGCGTCAGGTACATCCGCGCGTCAGCTACTATCCCCCTTCCGCGCGTCAGGTATGCGTCAGGCGCTCCCCACTCCCGGTCCGCGCGTCAGCTTTTTTCGAAGCTGCTATTCGCCCTGCCGCGCGTCAGGTACCTCCCCTCTTGCGCGCGTCAGTTCCACCCCTACTCCCATCCGCTCGTCAGCTTCTATTTTCCTTGCGCATCAGGTAACCCCCATCCTCATCAGGTACCCCCCATCCCATCCGCGCGTCAGCTACTATCCTCCCTTCCGCGCGTCAGGTATGCGGCAGGCGCTCCCCACTCCCGGTCCGCGCGTCAGCCTTTTTCGAAGCTGCTATTCGCCCTGCCGCGCGTCAGGTTCCTCCCCTCTTCCGCGCGTCAGTTTCGCCCCTCGTCAGCTACTACTTTCCTTCCGCGCATCAGGTAACCCCCATCCTCATCCGCGCGTCAGCTACTATACCCCTTCCGCGCGTCAGGTACCCCCGACCCCCATCTGCACGTCAGCTACTATCCTCAGGTATGCGTCAGGCGCTCCCCACTCCCGGTCCGCGCGTCAGCTTGCGCGCGTCAGTTCCACCCCTACTCCCATCCGCTCGTCAGCTACTATTTTCCTTCCGCGCATCAGGTAACCCCCATCCTCATCCGAACGTCAGTTACTATTTTCCTTCCGCGCGTCAGGTAGCTACTATCCCCCTTCCGCGCGTCAGGTACCCCCCATCCCCATCCGCGCGTCAGCTACTATCCCCCCTTCCGCGCGTCAGGTATGCGTCAGGCGCTCCCCACTCCCGCTCCGCGCGTCAGCCTTTTTTCGAAGCTGCTATTCGCCCTGTCCGCGCGTCAGGTACCCCCCGTCCGCGCGTCAGCTACTCTCCTCCCTTCCGCGCATCAGGTATCCGCGCGTCAGGTGCGCCCTAGTGTGAGCGTGGCACCCCCCACTCCCGATCCGCGCGTCCTCCCCTCTTGCACGCGTCAGTTCCACCCCTACTCCCATCCGCGCGTCAGCTACTATTTTCCTTCCGCGCGTCAGGTACCCCCCACCCCCATCCGCGCGTCAGCTACTATCCCCCTTCCGCGCGTCACCCATCCCCATCCGCGCGTCAGCTTCTCCCCTTCCGCGCGTCAGGTACCCCCCATCCCCATGCGTCAGCTACCCCCCCCCCTTCCGCGCGTCAGGTATGCGTCAGGCGCTCCCCACTCCCGGTCCGCGCGTCAGCTTTTTTCGAAGCTGCTATTCGCCCTGCCGCGCGTCAGGTACCTCCCCTCTTGTGCGCGTCAGTTCCACCCCTACTGCCATCCGCTCCTCAGCTACTATTTTCCTTCCGCGCATCAGGTAACCCCCATCCTCATCCGCGCGTCAGTACTATTTTCCTTCCGCGCCCCACCCCCATCCGCGCGTCAGCTACTATCCCCCTTCCGCGCGACTTTCGAACTACTTATCCAGGTAACTCATTAGTTAGCTAACAAACTAGCTAGCTAGCTAACCAACTAACCAACTCAAAAACCAACCCCCCTCTCCTCTACAGCCTTTGCGCGTCAGGTCCGCGGCGATCCCGCGCGTCAGGCGCCTGCTCTCACGATCCCGCGCGTTAGGTACCTCCCTCCTGCCGCGCGTCAGGTACCCTTTCCGCGCGTCAGGTACCGCCAAACTCAATCCCGCATGCGACGTACTTTTTTCCCCAGCCCGTGGGACTAAAAACAAGTAAAACGAATTAACTAACTAATTAACTAACTAACTAACTAACTAACTAGCTAACTTACCAATTACCTAACTAACTAACTAACTAACTGACTATCTAACTAACTAACCTCCCCCCCCCAGCATCCGCACATTAGGTACCTCCGCGTGTCCGGCACTCTTAGAGTGAGGCTAGAGGTTAGGTACGAACCAGTAACCATAGAACGCGCGGACCGGGAGTGCGCGGATGGGGATTGGGGGTGCCTGACGTGCGGAAGGAAAATAGTAGCTGACGCGCGGACTAACTAACAAACAACTAACTAACAACTAACTAACTAACTAACTAACTAACTAACTAACTAGCCGCCTTCCCCTCCGCCTCTTCGTGCGTCAGGCACCCCCGCGCGTCAGGTACTCTTGAGTTTGAGCGAGGTTACAGGTTAGGTACTAACTCAGTTCCTTTGACTTTCGAATTTCCTATCCAGCTAATTAATCAATTTGCTAACTAACTAGTTAGCTAGCTAGCTAGCTAACTAACTAACTCATTAACCAACCCCCCTCTCCTCTCCAGCCTTTGCGCGTCAGGTCCGCGGCGATCCCGCGCGTCAGGCGCCTGCTCTCACGATCCCGCGCGTTAGCTACCTCCCTCCTGCCGCGCGCCAGGTACCCTTTCCGCGCGTCAGGTACCGCCAAACGCGATGTATTTTTTCCCAAGCCCATGGAGCGACAAAAAACCCAAGCCCCAACCCCAAAACCACCCCATATCCAAACCTCCACCCACAAGACCCCAGAAATAAAACCCGACATCTAAAACAAACCGCACTACCTACACGAACAACCCTTCTCACAACGACTAACAGCCCAACTACCCCAAAAACGCTACACTCCCCCCATCCACCTCCTCTTCAAAGAAAACTAATTACTAACTAACGTACTACTAACTAACTAAACAAAACCAAGCAGTAACTAACAAAACTGAACATAACTAACTAACTAACTCACCGCCTTAGCCCCCCCAGCATCCGCACGTTAGGTACCTCCGCGCGTCCGGTACTCTTTGAGTGAGGTTAGAGGTTAGGTACAAACCAGTAACTATAGAACTACCTACTAACTGACTCATTAACAAACTAACCAGCTATCTAGCTAGCTAGCTAATTAACTAACTAACCACCAACCCCACCCCTCCTCTCCAGCCTTTGCGCGTCAGGTCCGCGGCTATGCCGCGCGTCAGGCGCCTGCTCTCAATCTCCTGCGCGTCGGGCACCTCCCTCCTCCCGCGCGTCAGGTACCCCCTTTCCGCGCGTCAGGTGCCGCGAAACTGGATCCCGCACTTGATGTACTTTTTTCCCAGCCGTGCGGTAGCTAACCAACCAAGTAAGCTACCAAGCTACCTAACCAACTACGCAACTAACTAACTAACTAACTAACCAACTAACCGCCTTACCCCTCCCCCCCCCGCCTCCAGCCTCCGCGCGTCAGGTACCCCCGCGCGTCAGGTTACAGGTCCGCGGCGATCCCGCGCGTCAGGCACTTGCTCTCAACATCCCACCCTTTAGGCACCTCCCTCCTCCCGCGCGTCAGGTACCGCGATACTTTTCCCCAGCCCGTGCGGCAACCAACCAAATAAGGAACAACTACATCACTAACTCATCAAATAACTAGCTAACTAACTACTAACTAACTAACTAAATAACTAACTAACTAACTAACTAACTAACTAACTATTTAACTAACCAACTAGCTAGCTAGCTAACTAACTAACTAACTAACTAACTAGCCGTCTTCCCCCCCCCCTCCGCCTCTAGCCTTCGCGCGTCAGGCACCCCCGCGCGTCAGGTACTCTTGAGTTTGAGTGAGGTTACAGGTTAGGTACTAGCTCACTAACTGACTATCTCACTACCTTAGTAACTTTCGAACTACTTATCCAGGTAACTCATTAGTTAGCTAACTAACTAGCTAGCTAGCTAACCAACTAACCAACTCAAAAACCAACCCCCCTCTCCTCTACAGCCTTTGCGCGTCAGGTCCGCGGCGATCCCGCGCGTCAGGCGCCTGCTCTCACGATCCCGCGCGTTAGGTACCTCCCTCCTGCCGCGCGTCAGGTACCCTTTCCGCGCGTCAGGTACCGCCAAACTCAATCCCGCACGCGACGTACTTTTTTCCCCAGCCCGTGGGGCAACTAAAAACAAGTAAAACCAATTTTCTAACTAACTAACTAACTAACTATCTAACTAACTAACTAACTTACCAATTACCTAACGAACTAACTGACTAACTAACTAACTAACTAACTAACTGACTATCTAACTAACTAACCTCCCCCCCCCCGCATCCGCACATTAGGTACCTCCGCGTGTCCGGCACTCTTAGAGTGAGGCTAGAGGTTAGGTACGAACCAGTAACCATAGAACGCGCGGACCCGCTCGCCGCGATGGGGATTGGGGGTGCCTGACGTGCGGAAGGAAAATAGTAGCTGACGCGCGGACTAACTAACTAACAACTAACTAACAACTAACTAACTAACTAACTAACTAACTAGCCGCCTTCCCCTCCGCCTCTTCGTGCGTCAGGCGCCCCCGCGCGTCAGGTACTCTTGAGTTTGAGCGATGTTACAGGTTAGGTACTAACTCACTTCCTTTGACTTTCGAATTTCCTATCCAGCTAATTAATCAATTTGCTAACTAACTAGTTAGCTAGCTAGCTAGCTAACTAACTAACTCATTAACCAACCCCCCTCTCCTCTCCAGCCTTTGCGCGTCAGGTCCGCGGCGATCCCGCGCGTCAGGCGCCTGCTCTCACGATCCCGCGCGTTAGCTACCTCCCTCCTGCCGCGCGCCAGGTACCCTTTCCGCGCGTCAGGTACCGCCAAACGCGATGTATTTTTTCCCAAGCCCATGGAGCAACAAAAAACAAGTAAAACTAATTAACTAACTAACGTACTAACTAACTAACTAACCAATTAGTTAACTAACTAACTGACTAACTAACTAACTAACCGCCTTAGCCCCCCCAGCATCCGCACGTTAGGTACCTCCGCGCGCCCGGTACTCTTTGAGTGAGGTTAGAGGTTAGGTACGAACCAGTAACTATAGAACTACCTGCTAACTGACTCATTAACAAACTAACCAGCTATCTAGCTAGCTAGCTAATTAACTAACTAACCACCAACCCCCCCCTCCTCTCCAGCCTTTGCGCGTCAGGTCCGCGGCTATGCCGCGCGTCAGGCGCCTGCTCGCGCGTTGGGCACCTCCCTCCTCCCACGCGTCAGGTACCCCCTTTCCGCGCGTCAGGTGCCGCGAAACTGGATCCCGCACTTGATGTACTTTTTTCCCAGCCGTGCGGTAGCTAACCAACCAAGTAAGGTACCAAGCTACCTAACCAACTACGCAACTAACTAACTAACTAACTAACTAACTAACTAACTAACCAACTAACCGCCTTACCCCTCCCCCCCCGCCTCCAGCCTCCGCGCGTCAGGTACCCCCGCGCGTCAGGTACTCTTTAAGTGAGGTTACAGGTCCGCGGCGATCCCGCGCGTCAGGCACTTGCTCTCAACATCCCACCCTTTAGGCACCTCCCTGCGTCAGGTACCGTGAAACTCGATTATGCGCGTGACATATTTTTCCCGAGGCCGTGCGGCAGCTAACCAACCAAGTGCGCTACCAAGCTACCTAACTAACTACGTCACTAGCTACGTCACTAACTGACTAACTACCTAACTAACTAACAAACAAACTAACTAACTAATTAACTAACTTAACTAACTAGCTGAGTAACTAAGTAACTAACTAACTAACTACCTAACTAACTAACCGCCTTCCTCCTCCCCCCCCGCCTCCAGCCTCCGCGCGTCAGGTACCCTCGCGCGTCAGGTACTCTTTCAGTGAGGTTACACAAGCTAGCTAACTACCTACGTCACTAACTACGTCACTAACTGACTGACTAACTAACTAACTAACCAATTAGCTAACTAACTAACTTAACTAACTAAGTAACTAAGTAACTAAGTAACTAAGTAACTAACTAACTAACTAACTAACTAACTAAGTAACTAACCGCCTTACCCACCCCCCCCCCCCCCGCCTCCAGCCTCCGCGCGTCAGGTACCCCCGCGCGTCAGGTACTCTTTGAGTGAGGTTACAGATTAGCTGGGGTACAGCCTGAACCGCTGCCGGTCCGGTCCGATTCAGATCCCGTGTTCGTTGCAGCAGTAGGCGAAAAGACTCCGACCTCTCCTGCTCAGACATCAATCCATGCAGTTCCAGGACTTCAATATCATGATCAAACGTCACCTTGCGTTCCTCGACAAGAATGATATTTGCATGACCATGCGGCACTGAGGTTCCCCCGGTAAGGTACTCTACAAGATCCACCATGTAGTGTCCCTTAGAATTCTGCTGAAGGTGATGATAGTGCTGATGGGGGTCGATCAACGAGAACACACAACTTCCGTCCACCAGATCCACAACCATGCCTGTACCGCTGTCCCCCACAAAGTCCATGCCAACAAGTACAGGTACAAGAAGGGATCTGCCCTCATCGCTATCCTGGTAATTGCTGGGGTTTGGAAGCACATACACGGAAAAGTTCCTGAGTTTTCCTGATGCTGTGGAGTGAAGATCAACATCCCCACTTCCCTGACCCGAAGCGAAAGTATGGGCGACGGCTCTGGTCAATCTTGATTGTCGCTCCTGGGTCTTTTGCCAGAAGGGCTAGAAGGGCTTGGATCAGCCCTTGGACAGCACCTTCTGGGCCAGCACTTGCCGTGGCACCAGTGTCCAGCATGCCTTGGCTGGGTTTACGCTCCGCGTTCACCCGTGCAGAATTTGCTTCAGCTGCATGAAGATTTCCATGAGCACGAGCTCCGGCTTCCATCTCCAGTCCATAGTAGTCCGCCACATAGGCATTGACCTGACCACTCTTCGGATTTTTGAACTTGCCCTTCCCTTTGCCGAAGGGGAACGCGTAGGCAGCGTCGTAGACGTTCGCCCAGTTCGCGCCTTTCAACTTATCTTTCCCCTTCTGGAAGGCCAAATCCCAATGCCAGTCCGGGTCCATGAAGTGCGCGTGCTTGCCCGGGTTCTTGCCTCCAAACGACTTTCCACCATATCCTTTACCCTTTCTCACACCAGGATGCTGCCTGTCTGGGCATTCACGGGCCATGTGGTTGCCCCCGCAGATGAAACAACCACTGCTTCCTTTTGCTCCCGGCACCACAACCCACGCTCCCGTCTCATGGCCGCCGTGGCCTGCTGTGCTTGAGACCATGTTCTCTTGGCTTCCATGGCCATGATCTCGGCGTCCTTCTCCGCCTTGTGCATCTCCTGTAGGCGAGGATCCTCTGCATCATCTCCGTGTCCTCCTGCATCTGTCTCCCACGTGTTCGCGTCCTCGTCCTGCCAGCCAACGTAGTACTGCCATCCATTGTTCCAACCATCGCCCCATTCATCACCCCAATCACCATAGCCCGTGTCGTCCACATACGAGACGAAGGACTCTGCTTCGGCAGCATGAAGATGATGTCCCGGGGCCGACGTAGGAAATCTCGTCGCCGTCAGCTGCTCATCCCACAGGGTCTGCAACGCATCGCTGATGCTCTCGTAGTCCAGCCTCCCGTTCGTGGCGCTCAGGATGTCTCTCCATTCCTCCGGGCTCAGAGATGCTGCCACCAGCAACCTCCATCCCCGCAGGACATTGATGATGAAGGAGTCCATCACGTTGAGCTCCTCCTCCTCAACCGCATCTGCTGTGCCTGCGGCAGCTCCAGCAGCTTCTTGACGTACGGGTTGAGGTGCAGCTTCTGCCTGATCCCGTCCAGCCTGGGGTGATGCTGCTGCAGGTTGGGCTTGAGCTGAAGCCGCATCTGTGGCTCGATCTTCTTGAAGATCATCTGCATCCGCAGCTTCCTCCTCCTCTTGAGCCACCCTCTGATATCCCCTTGTCCTCCGACGGCTGGACGCCTCCGTCTCGTCCACGCGGCTGCCACCGCGTTGCCTCCATCGATCCCACTGACTGGGAGACCACCAGTCCTGAAGATCTTCATCACGATCAGGATCACCAGGGGGAGGTAGCCCAAACGTTCTCTTGCTCGGGTCCACCCCGCTCCGTTCCTGCTTCAACCGGATGAGCGCCTCCTGAAACTCCTCAAAGCCGAGAGTTTCCCGCACAAGGAAATCCGACACCTTCTCGTTGGAGTACCTCTTGAAGGCAAAGTACTGACTCATGATCGCCGCCGCATTCGGCATACTGCGGCGGACCAGAGGGCTCATTGCAAGCTTCCGGAGGTACTTCGCGACGCCGTCCTCGGTGTCAAACTCCGATTGCGACCAACTCATCGCCAGCAACCTTGCGGTTCCCGTCAGCTTCGAGATGAGCCTCGTCGCAAGGTACCTCCGCATGTTCTGCTTGTTGCCTCTGACGTACCATGAGATCTCCTTGCAGTAGCGGCGCCATCCCTTTGGTGCACCGTCCCAGGTAGGGACCGTCTCCTTGCCATCCATGATCTCCCTGATCGGGCCGAAGGGCTCGCGATCGTGTTGATGAGATTCACCGCCTGGAGCGTCTCCTGCTCCGCTACCAATGCAATCGCCCTGCTCAAAGGCGCACACGTTGTTTTCCAGCTGATGGAAAAGGTTCCATGGGTGCGAGCCGCGTTTGGCTGAGTAAGAGGGGCCCCTCTGTAAGCCGCAAACCAAATGCATGGATGAGACAGTCAAATGGGTGTGATGTCAATTGCAGAAGCCTAAGAGCCAAATGTTCTACTTACGCTTTGAAGAGCGTTTCGCACTGGAAAAAGAGGCTGATGGGAGCGGCGCTCAGCTTCCTGGGCCAGAAGCTGTTCGCCAGCTCCTCTGATCAACGCGAGGTGTGAGAACATCTCCTGCTGCCAGCCGCCCAGTCGCCCATCGTCCGCCGGACGGGTGGCTTCCTAAGAAAAGGCATGACGACGCAAGAGGGTGGCCGGCTCGGACAGCGACTTTGAGGTCGACCTGGGAGAGTCGCTGCACCTGCAGAGCAACGCCCGGCTGGCCGTCTACAAGATCCGCTTGGCCGACAGCTTTTTGTCGACTGATCGCGGCCGCTACCTCTACTGAATAGACGCCGCGCTTGGGGCTCTGAACTGGGCTCTCCTGCCGGAAGGCGCCTACACGGGCGCCCGGCTGCCTGGATCAGCTCCAACTTGCAGCCGCCTCATCCTGAACGATCTGGAGCTGCAGCAGCGGTTCCCAGACGCTGTGGACTACCCCCCCTTCAGCGTGGACCACAATCAGCACCCCAGGCAGCGCCCATGCCGGGGCGAGGATCTGGAGGCTGCACAGAGCCTACCGCTTCACCTGCAGCCCCTTCATGGCGGGTTTCATGGCGCTCAAGCACAGCGAGCGGAGGCAGCTCAAGACGGCGGGGAGCGTGGTCGCACCCAGAACGCATCTTCGGCCGCTGCTGCATGAACCCCGACAAGTTCAGGAACACGAACGCCTACGTGGACCCTGCCAAGTTCGAGCGGGCCGTGGGCAAGAACTCCGTGACGAACTTCGAGTTCCAGATCAACGACTCGGAGGGGTTCCTGGCCTTCGTGGAGACGGTCAAGACGAACCGCAGCAAGGCCTGCATGAGCGTGCCCACCCAAGTCGGCGCCCGCACGCACGCTGCAGCTCTCCAAGCTCATGATGGAGAAGGCCTACTACCTCCACATGAGGAGGCTCTTCCCGAAGATGAGGCTGCTCTTCACGGACACCGACTCCGTGATGGTGCAGTTCGAGCTGCAGGCCCGCTCCACGAACCTGAGCGGCGCCACCCTCTTCGACGTGGCCGGCAAGTCCAAGGACCCCGATGGGGCAGCTGGGCGAGCTCGGCGACGAGACCTTCCCAGCCAGGATCCTCGAGTACGTCGGCCTGCGCTCCAAGATGTACAGCATCCTCACGGCCCAGCCCGACGGCGCTCGCAAGGAGAACCGCAAGATCAAGGGCGTGCCCAAGAAGGCGGTGACCAACGTCCGGCATCTCGAGTACAGGGAGGTGCTGGAGGAAGGCAGCGCAGCGAGCGCAGGGGCGCAGCCGCGCGCACGAGATCGCCGTGGAGACCGTCAAGAAGAAGTCCCTCTCGCCCTTCAACGACAAGGTCTACGGCCTCGACGCTCACAACTTGCGCCCGCTTAGAACACTGGCGCAACCTGGAGCAGCTGCGGATGCTGGGCGCTTACGCTCCGCCCGGCTCCGCGCCCTTCGACCTCGTGATGGAGTTTCGTGGGGCCCCCGCCTCTGGGGCCCGCTCCGACACTGCCGCTGCGGCTGAGCCGATCTCGCTTTCTCGCTAATACTTATATGATCCGCCGCAGCTGCTCAAGATGACTTCCTCATGGCTTCTGGAGAAGCCCGCTGCGTGGGTGGGCGAGGACACTCCCTGCGGCTGCTCTGATGGCCCAGCGGCCTCCCATGCGGCCTTGCGAGGACGCACTGCTCGAGGCCGAGCGTCTGCACCACCGGCGTCTCATCGAGCACCTCGACGAGGAGCTCATCAGTGAAACTATGCGCTGTGAGGAGTGGGAGCGCAGCATGATGATTCTCCGCTGGCAGCTGCGCCACCGAGATCATCGAGGAAGAGCGTGAGCGAGCGGTGCGGGCGGAGGCGCGCGTAGATGAGCTTGAGGAGGATGTCGCCAGTGAAATTATACGCCGTGAGGAGCTCGGCTGGCGGCTGGACCGCCGCATCCAGTTTTTCGAGGAAGAGAACGAAGATCTTCGCGAGCGAGCGGTGCTGGCGGAGGTGCGCGTTGATGAGCTGGAGGAGCTGGAGCGCAGCAACATCCGCTGGCGGCTGGAACTCCGCATCGAGATCCTCGAGGAAGAGAACGAAGATCTTCGCGAGCGAGCGCGTTGATGAGCTTGAGGAGGATTTGGACAGGGGGTGCATCATCACACGCTAAAGAAAAAAGTCCGCCAGATGCTTGAATGGTCCGAAATGCTCAAATGGTCCCAAAAAAACCGCGCAGCCTCTTTAAGCTATCAGGACCTCTTGCAAGACCTTCCGATGCGTGCAGGCATGGCTTATGGAGAAGCCCGCAGCGTGGGTGGGAAGGACGCTCCCAGCCTTGCGGTCGCTCAGCCAACAAGCGGCCTCGTACCTCGAGGCCGAGCGCCTGCACCAGCGGCGTCGCATCGAGTACCTTGAGGAGGAGGTCATCAGTGAAACTAGGCGCTGTGAGGAGCGGGAGCGCAACAACAGAAATCTCCGCTGGATGCAGGACCGCCTCATCAAGATCATCGGGGAAGAGCGTGAGCGAGCGGTGCAGGCGGAGGCGCGTGTTGATGAGCTTGAGGCAGTCGGAGCTGTCGGAGATGTAGAGTAGAGACGTAGAGGGCCTGCTTTCGCGGCTCAGGAGCTCGGAGATCCCTGCGCACCACCTTTTCCGGCCACCCCTCCAAGCCAAACCTCGCCCCCATCTCCCCGCTCTCGGCGGAGGCTACCCTGTATACCTTTTCGCTCCAGGCTATCTCGTTGACCCTGTAGGAGCCCCTGCTTTCGATCGGCTTAAACCATATCCCCGACCTTGATTTCCGGGCGGGTCACCTTGTGTTTGGCCCTGCGCTCAATGTTGCGCAGAGCAATCTCAGCCATTTCGGGGTAGAGTAGGCGAGCGTGCTTCCTTCCGTTAATTTGGTTTAAGATGTCAGGCAGCATGAGGTGCCACTGGCCCCGCCGGCCCGCTCCGGCTGCTATGCGACGCAACATCGCCTCCTTGATGGTGCGGATGGCGCGCTCTGCAAAGTAGGCGTGGCCCCTAGTCACCTGCTTCTCAATGTCCCAGAAATCCATCAGCTCCTTGAACTCCTCTTGAACTCGGAGCCGTCGTCGGAGCACACGTTGGCCGGCACCCAGAACTTGGAACATCTTCTTCATGTCCGCCGCGGTGGTGGTTGCAAGACGGCTCCGCGGCCACTTTTTTGGTCAGCGCATCGATGGCCACCAGCATAAAGGGGTACATGTCTGGGCTCCAGAAGCACGAAGCTGTTGTAGCCTTGCGCAGTCGGTCCGGTTTACCCAGAGGCCGTCCTTCGCGTCCAACATGCACTTCTCGGACGACTTCTTCTTGACGAAGAACTGGGCAAGCTGGAGCAAGCTGCAGATCTCCAACAGCGCGGCGTCCGAGTAGGACGCACCAGTGGGAGCTCATTATAATCAACAACAAGGCGCTGGCGCAGACAAAGAACCTCTCAACGCAGCTGTTCTTAACCACAAACCAGAGAACTCCGGCTGCCTTGTAAACGCAAGCAAACGGCAACATGGTCTGAACACGCACTTTACAAATTTGTTGGACAGCAGGGTAAGACGAGGTCGAGGTGGGCAGTTGACACCGTGGAGGCCAAGCAGTACAAACGCCCGGACATTTCTGAGAACTTGAGACTTCGCCTTAAACAACTTTGCAGAAACAAAGTAAAGCTGACGGGTACCTTACGACGGCCAGCAAGAAAGGTGTAACGCCCAAGTTGTCGGCTG